TAAATTCCAAGGGTAAGTGGGAATCAGGACATCAATCCTCCAAATCTGAGTCCAATGTGCTAACTACTGTGCCGGCTCACTGGCCACATCTTTATGGTACTAGGTTGCAAACGTTAGTCTACATGGACTACTTTCCTGGTTCTAGGGGTTTGCACCTTGGACCTTCTGCATGCGAAATATGTGCTCCAGCACTGAGCCACAGCTCTTCTTACTTAATCAAGGCAGCTTCTAATGCTAACATCTCACCTTCCCCTTCTGTCCTCTGATGACCAAGGTATTGATGGCAAACCAACTATCTGACAAGCCAAACCTTCCTCCTGAAACTATGGAAAGACAAATGATGCTGCCAGAAGGGTAGGATTATCAATGTCTCTCCACACTTCTGTGCTTAGAGTGTGATGAAAAATGGGTCATTAAGAACCATGTCAGGGTTTTTGGAATTTAATATTAGCTTCAAAGAGGCCCAAGTTTTCATCACTTTTTCCCCAGTTTAGCGTTTAGGTTTCATCAGCGCTACAGTGCTCCAATGGAGATGTCTGACAGATTTGGAGGGGGAGGCAAACAGGGAAAGCTTGCAAGCCAAATAGAAAAAAAAATTATCTCCTTGATTGAAGAGACTTAGGGAGCTGGGTATATTTAGCCTGGAGAAGAGACGGTTAAGGGGTGATATGATAGCCCTGTTGAAGTATTTGAAGGGCTTTATCTCTTCTGATCTGCTTTGCCTCTGGTTCCAAACTCCTTGGGTGCCCCTTGGGCAGTGGGTGGATGGGTGCAGTGCCATCACTAGGGTTGGTGTCTCCCATACCACACTTTGGGAATGTTTTTTTGCACTATTGTTACTCATAAATTACGGAAAGCAATGGCAATAGTTGTGACATAAACAACTAGCCCAATTAAAATTATCCTTTTAAATTACAATATCACACACACAGCCTAAATGGATTTACATATACATGGTTTCATGTACTTAGAGTGAACAGTTGGTAAAATGTGATTTTAAAAAAAGAAATTAAAAATATTTTTTATTTCTTTTTTTAAAAAATTGAAATTTGAAATTTGATTTAAAAAAAACTGGGGCATCTCCTTTCTCCTTCCTCTGAGCCTCACCCCACTCACCCCATCCCTTCAGCATGTTAGTGGGACATAGGGAAATGCCACTGCCTGTTTCTGCCCAAAGGCAATAGCAAGTTCATTTCTATACCATTTATCAGTGCACTTAAGCATTCCCTAAGCAGTGTAAGCCAATTGCCTCCAACAAGCTGGGTACTCATTTTACCAACTTATGAAAGGATGGAAGGCTGAGTGAACTTTGGAGCCCCTGGGATCGAAATCACAACCTTGTGGCTGCAATAAAGGCATTGAACCACTGCGCCACCAGGGTTCCCTTATGTTTAAGGAGCAGTGGGGTCACCCCACTGCTGTGGAATTCACTTGAAGCACATGAAAAGTGTTTGCTTTAAGGGCTCCCTTTAAGCACAGAAGGAGTTCACTTTAAGCACATGAAACTACTTCAGTAACAACAAAAATCCACCAAACAGTGATACCTTTATTAGACCAAACAAAATGCACAATATACATGTTGCAAGTTGCTGGCTTCTTTGTCAGGCAAAGGTGTTACAAACCAAACAGGAAGAGGAAAATTTTGTTATTCATAGGTCTGAATTTTGCTGTTTCTCTTCTTAGTTAAGATGGTGTGGAGGGGCAAACCTTGCAGGCTGGTATCTCCTCCTTCTGGCCCTGTGGCAACTGGGTGATTCTCAAAGTCCTGGAAATTTAAACATCCATTTGCAATACAAAAAAGATACTTCCTTTGTTTGTGACACCTTTGCCTGATGAAGAAGCCAATGAAGCTTTGGAAGCTCACAACATGTATAGTGTGCATTTTTAATGTGTGGTGGCACAGTGGTTAAATCCCACTACTGCAGCCACTCACTCCTAAGGTTTTGAGTTCAATCCTAGCCAGGGGCTCAGGGTCAACTCAACCTGGCGTCCTTTCTTAGGTTGCTAAAATGAGTACCCAGCTTGTTGGGGGCGATTAGCTTACAGTTGTAAACCACATAGAGACTGTTCAGTGTAGAACGAAGCAGTATATACCGTAAATGAAGCTGCTATTGGTATTGGTTGGCCCAAGAAAATTATCACTGTTTGGTAGTTTTTGGTTGTTACTGGAATGCCTGTATGGCCAACATGACTACCCCTAGATGTTTTTTCACATGAAACGATGTATGTAGGCATAGGGTGTCAGCTGGTGTGGTCAGCACCCCTCACACTCCCCTATTGATGTCACTGGCTGGAAGAGCATCTTTGCCTCCCTGGAACAGCCCTTGGGCAGACAGACTCCCTGCCTTCACTCCCTTTAGGGTAGGGGTCGGCAAGTTCCCCTTACCTGGGGCCGGTCCAGGGATCCCCTGGTCTTCTGCGAGCTGATGGTGGTGTGGGGGGGAAATGGTGGTGCACGCGCTCACACGCGCGCACATGTGCAGTACACTGGAAGTACAGCGTGCACACACGCTTGCTCATGCATGCGCAGTACTTCCGGAGTACTGCGCAT